TTTTTTTTTTTTTTTGGTAGCTACTGTGAATGATAGTGAGTCTTTGATTTGACTCTCAGCTTGAGTTTTATTAGTATATAAGAATGCTACTGATTTGTATACATTGATTTTGTAACCTGAGACTTTGCTGAATTTATTTATCAATTTCTGGCGTCTCTTGGTGGAATCTTTGGGGTTTTCTAGGTATAAGATCATATTGTTGGCAAAAAGCAATAGTTTGACCTCCTCTTTCCTGATTTGGATACACTTAATTCCTTTCTCTTGCCTGATTGCTCTGGCTAGGACTTACAGCACTATGTTGAATAGAAGTGGTGACAGTGGGCATCCCTGTCTTGTTCCAGTTCATCGTGGGAATGCTCAACTTTTCCCCATTCACTACGATGGAGGCCGTGGGTTTGTCATGTGGCTCTTATAAATTTGAGATAGGTTCCTTCTATGCCAAGTTTGTTGAGGGTTTTTGTCATGAAATGGTTCTGAATTTTGTCGAATGCCTTTTCTGCATCTATTGAGGTGATCACATGATCTTTGTTTTTGCTTCTGTTTATGTGGTGAATCACATTTATTGATTTACATATGTTGAACCATCCTTGCATCCCTGGGATGAAGGCCATTTGGTCCTGGTGGATTATTATTTTGATATGCTATTGAATTCAGTTTGCTAGTATTTTACTGAGGATTTTTACAACTATGTTCATAAGGGATGTTGGTCTATAGTTTTCTTTTATTGTTGTATCCTTTCCTGGCTTTGGTATCAAGGTGACACTGATTTTGTAGAATGAGTTGGGGAGGATTCCCTCCTTCTCGGTGTTATGGAATATAATAATTTCTGCAATATGGGTACCAACTCTTCTTTGTAGATCTGATAAAATTTGGATGTGGATTCATCTGGTCTGGGGATTTTTTTGTGTTGGAAGATTTTTTTATTGTTGCTTCAGTCTCATTGCTCATTATTGGTCTGTTCAGGAGTTCTATCTCTTCCTAATTGAGTCTTGGAAGTTTTTGTGTCTCCAGGAATTTGTCCATAAAATCTATGTTTTTGAGTTTATGTGCGTAGAGATTTTCATGGTATTCGCAGTTGATATTTTGTATTTCTTTGATATCAGTCGTAATATCTCCTTTTTCATTTCTCATCTTGTTTGGGTCATTTCTATTTCTGGTTAATCTAGCTAGAAGTCTATTGATTTTGTTTATCTTTTCAGAGAACCAACTTTTTGTTTCATTGATCTTCTGTATTATGTACAAGATTATTCCTTGCAGTTTTTATATATTGTATATGATTGCAAACAACTGCAATGACTGTCAATAGGGGATTGCTTAAGTCATATATGGCACATTTGTACAATGGAATGGAGTGCTCTACAGCTGTAAGAATGCACAAGAAAGCTGTCTTCTGATGAAAGATCTCTAGAGTCATCACAAAGGAAAGAACTGTATAGAGTGTGCTATCTTTTCTGTTTAAAAAGAAGATGTTGGGTGGAATAAGAATATACATCCACTAGTGTGTGCATATGCATAAAGAAATCCTGATAGAATACGTAAGAAGTATGGTGGAAAAATGTGGGAACTTGGTAGACAGGGGAAAGGATTGGGAAGACTGAGTTTCACTGATAGCTCTTTGTATTATCATTTCTGAAACAGTTGAAAGTATTTCCTGTTCAAAAAATTAACTAAAAAAAATGAAACTTGGAATGGTGGGTATGATAAGTGCTATAGGAACATTTAAAACATTTAAGTATACTGATAAATACTTGAGTGTATTTCAGGGGTAAAAAATAATTTAAAAAATGATTCCAGTAGTTGAATAATGATATTTTTATGTATGTGTTTTATGCTATTGATCTTGATGACTCTAAATGTAACCTGGGTACTGTACTTTGCACTATATATGTTTTGATTTTTTGTTGTTATTGTTAAAGATAACCATCTGATTCTATTACCTTTTCTTTTCAGTCCTGATGATATTGGGACCTGCTGGTATATCCTTCTCTCTGGTTCCGTGTTCATTAAGGAATCCATGTTTCTTCCAAGAAGCAGGTATTGTATAGACATTCTATAATAGATTATCGATGAAACTTGAAATTCTTTTGCAGAATTGAGTTCTTTTACAAAATTCTTTTTTCTTCCTATTTTTTCTTTTACTGGTATAAAGCAAGGAAGTACTTTAGAATGTTGATATAACACATAAATCTTTAAGAAATAACTATTTTATGTTGTAAACACTATTCTAATCTTATTAACAAAGGGTGAGAACGGAAAACATGTTGGTGACATATGCATTTGTTACATGATCATGTCTGCTGTGTTTAGGGCACGTTTGTGAATAAAATTGAGCTCAAAATGGCTTAGCTAAAGGGGACTAAGTTTAAGAGTATAGCAGGCAGTCTCATAAATATCTAGAGAGGCAAAGGAGGTTCATTAAGACGACGTGGGACTAGAAGTGGAAAGCCAGGGGCTGTCATTGACTTTTTTGCTTCTCGGGACCATATGGTCTTCTCATTTTTGCATTTGTCTGTGAATTGGTTTCCTGCTTTCTAAAACTCTTAATTTCTTTCTCCCTATGACTTTGGCTTGTGTGTGCTATTGACTTATAATCTTTTGTCCTTATTGTTTACACCATTTGAATGTAGTGTCTGTGTCTTTTCTTTGGATTCTT